ATTACATCAACCTGAAAAACGCAATAGGAGAGACGCTAATCCCATAACTAATAAGGCCCCGTAAAAGTTTTGCAAAAGAAAATATGTTTTGTGGTGCCTAATTGGTTAAAACCACGAAACATAATCTGGCCGCATAACCTGTTTTGGAGCTTCATTTTTAGGTTTTTAAAACTCGACCCTACTTCGTTAAATACATGTTTTGGGCCATTTTTGAGATATAATCTGACATTTTAGAGTGAGAGAGAGTGTCCTAGAGTGAGAAGGTGTTATTCAATAATTGTTCTTCAATTCTTGCTCAAGTTTTGGAATATTAAGAAGGCAAGCTCACTAGGTCTTCATCCTAGAGGTAAGATTCTACACCCTAAACCCTAATTTGAAATCATCTGAAAATGGATAATTAGCAAGATAATATTTAGGCATGAGAGTTAATTATTTTACATGCAGTGATATCAAGGGGTGTAGAAAGATTGTTGAACTAAGCATGGTAAAGATTGGGTTGTGGGATGATGGAATCCTCCATAAAAGGACCTTGACACCTTGTGCACACCTAGTGTTTGATAAAATGCTCAAATGAGCTAGCACCATGATCATCTTCCTAATTTTGATTTAATTTATTATATTTCTAAAATAGATTGAAGTTGCTAAGAATTCCGGAACGTTTTAGAGTTTAAGGAAGCTCAATTGAGGTATGTTGGCTAAACTATTCTCTTAGAATTGAATCCCACGATATTCATATAAATTATATAAGTCTCGAGTGATTCATTATGAAATTGTCTATTCCGAGTTAGATTGGGTCAAACTCTTCTCACGCAAGTTTGACTCAATTTGGGTGATTGTGGATCGACTCACGAAGTCATCACACTTTTTGCCGGTTAAGTCTACCGACACAGCGGAGCAGTATGCTCAGTTGTATATCAAAGAAATAGTTAGGTTGCATGGCACCCCAGTTTCCATCATTTCTGATCGGGGGGGCAAATTTCACTGCTAATTTTTGGAATAAATTTCAGCAAGGTTTGGGTACTCAGGTGAATCTTAGTACAACCTTTCACCCGCAAACTGACGGGCAGGTAGAGCGGACTATTCAGACGCTTGAGGATATGTTGTGTGCTTTCGTTCTACACTTCAAAGGTAGTTGGGATGATCGTTTACCACTCATAAAATTTGCCTACAACAATAGCTAGCATTCAAATGACATCGTTTGAGGCTTTATATGGTAGGAGATGTAGATCTCACATTGGGTGATTCAAAATTGGGGAAGCAGAGTTGATAGGGCCAGACCTCGTGCATCAGGGCATGAAAAAAGTTAAAATCATTAAGGAGCGGTTGAAAACTGCTCAGAGTCGTCGGAAATCCTATTCGGATATTCGTCGTATGGATTTGGAGTTCAAAGAAGATGATTGGGTATTCTTGAAAGTTTTCCCCATGAAAGGGGCAATGCGATTTGGTAAGAAAGGGAAATTGAGTCCGAGATATGTCGGACCGTACAAAATCATTCAGAGGATCGGTGAGGTGGCGTACAAGGTTGAGCTACCACCTGAGATGTCATTAGCACACCCGGTGTTTCATGTTTCTGTGTTGAAGAAAGTAGTTGGAGATCCGACACTCATTGTTCCGGTGGAGACTATTGAGGTGAATGAAAAATTGACTTACGAAGAGATTCTGGTTTCTATTATTGATCGGCAAGTCTGAAAATTGAGAAATAAAGAAATTGCCTCCGTGAAAGTGTTGTGGCGAAACCAACAGGTTGAAGAGGCTACTTGGGAGGCCGAGAAAGAAATGAAGAAAAAGTATCCATATTTGTTTGAATAACTATGTATTTATAAAGTTATGATCTAGGAAAATTATAAGACTTACTTTCTATGAATTTTGTATCAACAGTACAATTGGTGTTAAGGGTGTTCCTTTCTGGAAACACATTGCTTGTGAGGCCACAATTGGTGTTGTTTTGTATTATGTTACGTTGTTGGATTACTTATATGTTGTTAGGATGTGTTTCTGGGGCTCTCTGACAGGTGGATAGGCCTAGTTACAAAGGAAACTCTGGCGAAATTTTTGAAAATTTAGGGAATTAGTCAAATTTGGGGTTGCTGGTGTGTGGTATGAAAAACTGAGTTGCATAAGATGCTAATAACAGATTTTGACCCTCATTCGAGGACGAATGATCCTAAGTGGGGGATACTGTAAGGCCCCGTAAAATTTTTGCAAAAGAAATAATGTTTCGTGGTGCCGAATTAGTTTTATGTGTTGAGTATTATAGAAATTCTTCGCGGCGAGCTTGCTCGCCGCGGCTCGGACTTTTTGGGTTGAACAATGCACCGGAAAGTAAAGAAATATTTTTGGCGGAAAAGTGCATTTCTGCGGTTCACTATGCGACCGCAGAATCACTCTGCGGACCGCATAATGGCCGCAGAATGAGGCAGTTAATTAGGTCAGTTGGAAGCAATTATGCGGTCGACTATGCGACCGCATAACTGTTATGCGGTGCACTATGCGGCCGCAAAACAGGTATGCGGACCGCGTAGTGACCGCAGACTCAGGCAGATATTTGGTCATTTTGGACACCAATTATGTGACCGATATGCGGTCGCATATGCGATCGCAGAACCTGTTCCGGAGCTTCATTTTTGGGTTTTTAAAATCCGATCCTACTTCGTTAAATACACGTTTTGGGATATTTTTGAGATATAATATGACATTTTAGAATGAGAGAGAGTGCCCTAGAGTGAGAAGGTGTTCTTCAATAATTGTTCTTCAATTCTTGCTCAAGTTTTGGAAGATTAAGAAGGCAAGCTCACTAGGTCTTCATCTTAGAGGTAAGATTCTACACCCTAAACTCTAATTTCGAAATCATCTGAAAATGGGTAATTAGCAAGATAATTTTTGGGCATGAGAGTTGATTATTTTACATGCATGTGATATCAAGGGGTGTAGGAAGATTGTTGAACTAAGCATGGTAAAAATTAGTTTGTGGGATGATGGAATCCTCCATAAAAGGACCTTGAAACCTTGTGCGCACCTAGTGTTTGATAAAATGCTCAAATGAACTAGAACCATGATCATCTTCCTAATTTTGATTCAATTTGTTATATTTCTAAAATAGATTGAAGTTGCTAAGAATTCTGGAACGTTTTAGAGTTTAAGCAAGCTCAATTGAGGTATGTTGGCTAAACTCTTCTCTTATAATTGAATCCCACGATATTTATGTAAATTATGTAAGTCCTGAGTGATTCATTATGAAATTGGCTATTCCGAGTAAGATTGGGTTGAAAGATATATGTTCAACAAGCATCTCAAATGCTCTATTCATGTTAAGTTACCAATTGAGGATGTGTTAAAATATGGGTTGTGCATTAATAATGTTTCAACTTTAAGTCAAGTTCAAATGAAGGCTATTATGTCAAATTTTGTGAAATGTAGATGTGCATTAGACTCTAAATTGCTCACATGTGTACTACACACTTTGATTTGAATTGTGTTTGTTGTTGATGATGAGGATGATATTTGAAATTGATAAGGTGAGCATGAAATACTGAATATGGCCAACGGTGCCAAGGATGATCTTATAATTATGGCCACTAGTGCTAATGAAATGAAAAGATGTGAAAGTATTATGAAATGCGATGATTGATATAAAAAGGTTGATGTCTCAAATAAGACAGCCTAGCCGATCGAGTCGTGATCGGACACCATGCCGCACTCATGGTGGTGATTGTGCTGGAAATTGTAATTAAAATTGTAATTGTGATCGATGTCCCTAATGGATAGCCTAGCCGATCGGGTCATGATCGGACTCCGTGTTAAAGACGGTGGTATTGATATTGAGAGTAATTGTGATTGATGTCTCTAATGAGATAGCCTAGCTGATCGGGTCGTGATCGGACTCTGTACTGAGAATACAGTTGTACTGGTATTGTGCACAATGGTATGTCGATACTAAAAATCTCCCAATGTGAGATATGAAAATTAATTTGAACATTGTCTTGATCCTAAATTGAGGTTTGATGTTAATTAAGGCTTTCATTGATATTATGATAATCTTGTTTGTATTATTTGTTATTCTATTGAGAGGGTGTTTAGGGTGTTATTTGACAGTACTAACGTCCCTTTTGTCAGGGGCGCTACATCTTTCAATGGATGCAGGTGGTTCCACAGCAGGAGATATTGATCAGTGATAGCAGTGCACCTTCTTCCCAGCTGACTTGGTGAACCCCACTTCATTCCAAGGTCATGAATCTTTTGTACTTTGTGTATTCTGTTTGAGGTATAGCCGGAGCTTTGTTGCCGGCATTATCATTGTACTCTTCTTTATCTATAGAGGCTCCATAAACATAGTGTGGGTTGTGTATTGGTGCTGGGAAAGACAAACTATGCTATGTTGTGATTGTATTACTTGTCCATTTGAGACTTTAAAAATGATGAAACTTATGGTAAGAAATTGGTAATTGCAGACATGACCACTTTATTGTTTAATTAAGGAAAACATATTCTCTTTATTCATGAATGAGTTTGGGTAGAAGGAATCTAATAGGCTTGCTCGGTCGGGTTCACTTAGTTGAGCGCCGATCGCGCTCCTCGATTTTGGGGCGTGACACCCTGAAATATCCTCAACTCATTGAATTCTTTCTAAGTGTTTAATTGCTCTACTTGCATTCTTATTTTCTTGCTTGCTTATTAGATCGTAGTAATCTAGTTATAAAAATCACATTCTTCTTCACACTCACTTGAGCATTAAATTTATAAATCGCTTAGATTGGACAGTAGTTGATCATAAATCCTCGTAGGAACGATACTTTCTTATCACTTTATTACTTGTCGATCGTGTACGCTTGCGTGTGCGTTTGGACCCAACAAATCTGTCTTGAATAATCTGGGTGTACACATGGCATATATCCATCAGCAGCTGCATTGAACAATACTTGACCAAAATTCACTGGAGGATCTCCACCCCCAGAGAATAAGCTACAGGACCCAAAGATGCTTAAACCCAGGAGGCAGCAAAACAGCATCAATTGGGGTGATCTTTATTCTGATAAACATTCTGCCCCCTGTAGTACCACATAAGTTAAGGCTTTATGAAAAACTTAAAATCGCACTTTCAAGATATGCTTCTCATGTAAACACTCTGCCCAAAAAAAATGTACTGTAATTTGTGATTCTAATAAACTCCAACTATTTGTCAATAGTAGATTTAACTCAAAACCTTGCTTGTCAATAATCAATAATTCGCCGATCGCTCTCATTCCGAAGTTATCCAATAAAGTCCTGCTCCTAAGCTCTGCGATTGAAGAGAGATGTCAAATAGAGGGAATGGAGTTGATACGAATTTATTCAAAAGCATGCAAAGAATATTAACAATGAAGAGAGATAGATAGCAGTAACAAATGCTGAAACGGACGAGGAACAAGGTAACCATTCACTCACCTGCTCATGTAAGAGTTGTCGGTGGTGTTAACGATAATCTTGTCCCCTTCTAAGATATGTTTTGGTACCTAGAAAAGGGGTAAGATGTAAAGAAGGAAGTCAAGAACTTGCACAGCTACACTCCATGTGATAGATATTGCTCGATATACGTATTTCACATTTTCCATAATGAAGACTACATGATTTAGCAAACATCAAATCATTCAAGAGTCCGATGCAAAAAATAGGTAGTACTTGCAGCAAAAGTCAGAGAGAGATGTGAAAGAGACAGGATTGACACATCCATAATAAAGAAATGAACTTAAAATGTCTGTGTTTTCTCTTTCCTTCTTTCTTATGAGGTGGGACTTGGGAGGGAGCTTATGGCAACTATTGCCTTGGAATCCAAAGGTAAAGCAGTTCCCAAGCAACATACCAACATCAACCCCCAGCACTTGAAAGAAAAAAAAAAAAAGAGGGGAAACCGCAGAATAATGCTACAATCTCAATCCATGATATAACTGTTGGAAAATTAATGCTACAATTTACCTGCACAGTGAGACCATTGTCCAACAAAACCTTCTTATACCTATCAATAGAAAAGATTACAAATTATTTTTATCAGAGAGATAATAAATAGTAGAAAATAGCAAAACCTTCTTTATCTGCAGAGATGCGACTGTAGTCAATCAGAAAGTACTGTTAATTCCAGGAATAATTTACCAGACAAACTGAAAAAGGTTCTTTCAATTACATGAGAAAACAGTCATAAGGATGAGAAGCTAACATACTGTGGAGTAGCTGACGCCCTCATGGGAATTTCGGATTCAGCAACAGTACATGTTACTCGTGTAGGAATTGATGCAGACATTGCTCTTCCATCATACATTTGCACACTGACTTTCATATCATCTGTGAATTATATAATTTTTCATCTTTTAGCACAATTACAAACATGTCACAACAAAGATGGTCGATCAAAAAGAAAAAGCAGACAAGAAAAACAAGAAATTTATAATGTTAAAGAAGAAAACGTGCTAACTTCATGGGAAATATGTAGATAGACAAGAAGGAAATAAAGGAACATAGTTATACCCCCTCCACCTATAGTTGTTAAGGCGGAGGAAAAAAGAGAAGAAAAAAAAAAGGAACATTTGCACATAGAACATCAATAGGAACTACTATGACAAGGCACAGACATACTACATTAAGACGGGAAAGTTATTATTTGATGACTTATTTTTCACTGCTGGTATCACTCTTGATAAGGAATTGAGATGAATAGCATACTGTCAAAAGGACTATCTCAAGTAATATAGAGCCCAAGGACAAAGGCGAAATAGTCCTACTTCATTTCTCATTCATAAAAACCTATGTATAAAGTGGTTCCACCAGTTGCTTACCATTAATAAGCAAAAGTCAACAGACATGAAACTCCTCTGCATAAGTTGTGCAATCATTAAAAAATTAAAGAGTAGGTCTTTTATCTACCTTCTGACCATGCCTAACATGATGTTGGAAATATTCCTCTACAATCAGTCAGTCCCTCTTTGAACATACTCATCAAAGAAGTAGAAATAGTATTATTTCTAGATGAGCACATAAGGGTGTGTGCCTAGTGGTTAATGAAGTAGAAGGAGAACTCACGTTCAAATCCCAGCAGAGGGCATTGTAACATGGAAGCTATTAAATAAATGTTACAATTCGACCAATACCATACTAAAAAGCTACCTCAAGTTCCACACATAGCATGGAAAAGTTGGTTATGCAATGTGGGCTGTGTTAAGACACATTGTTAGGCTAGAAGTTCAAAAGGAAGTGACAGAAGCGAACAGTATGGGAAGTAGTTCCCTTAGCATTTCTTAGGATCATATGAGCAAGAAAAATCTAAGAGCTTAGAGCATATGGGAAAGTCGAGGAGTCCTTTTTTTTTTGGTGATTAAATAAGTAGAGTTCATGCAATACAAAGGAAAGTCGAGGAGTCCTTTGTGTGAGTCCTTTGCACAAACTAGTGAAAACATTTGTGTTTTTTCTACAATGGGGACAGATGATTTTTTGCTTTTTATAAACAATAAGTAATAACAGAAATATAAGAATAAGACAATACAAGACTAACACACTACCCTCCCCCAGACCCCACATGTGGAATTACACTGGGTTTTTAGTTGTTATAAAGAATCACTTTTTAAATATGAAGATTCTCCATTTTTGTACGCATCTTGTACGGGGAAGGTTTTCTCTTCTTTTGTCCGGATAAGTAAGACATTTTTTTCTCCAGTGGAATATGCAAGACATATTTTATTGAGCACAAAAACTCTGCATGAGTATTTACAACAGGTTATAGAAAACTCAACCCCTTTCACTATAGGAGACTGAGAAAGAACTGCCATTGCTGTGATGCCAAGGGGCAATGTATGAATAGGTGGTTTTTTATAATAACCGAAAAATCCCCAAGGGCTATCACAGTCTGAAACTTGGTGCATAAAGCCCACCCCTCAGCCATTCTCCAACTTAAATACCAGGGTTCTATATGCTGCAGGGTTCAAAAATATGAATAAGTGGTAGACATCCTCAGATTCATCAGCACACATGTGACAACTATTGTTATAGTACCATACCCCTCCTCTATTATAGGCTATGTCGGGAGAAAGCAGCTTCATAGGACGATCCAGCAAAACATACAACTTTATATGGGCTTTGCTTCTCCAAATCTTCTTCCAAGAACAATATGATGTTATATACTCAGTGGAAAATCAGAAACTTGTTGAAGGAGTTAACAGTAAAAACTCCACTTTTCTAATGCTTCCATTTAAGAGAATCTGGAGTATCCGATGAGAATTGTACAGTCTCCACATTATAGCAATTCTCCTGATTTTCTACCCTGCCTACCTATGAAGAACTTCAAGTCTAACGCGAAAGGATGCGGCGGTAAACCCAGCAGCTTTGTCTAGAACCCTCCAATCATTATAGCTCCTCCTAAAATTGACTATACCAACCCTGCTCTGTTTTGTATTGCACCACCTAAGCTCAGTACACAGAGCTATGCTATAGAGTATGGGAACGAGTTTTTGATTGGTGTACCAGGCATCACGCCAAACCCCAGTTTAGCTTGATCTGCTAATTCCTCGCACAAACATCTAATGTGTTTCCATAGACCCCCACATAGTACAGGTTTATAAGGGACATGCACCCTTCATTCTTTGAGCGCAACATCTCTCTCCTTCAGCACTGCTGTCCATAGTACTCCATCAGACAAACCAAATCTCAATAACCATTTGCACAGGAGGCTTTTCTTCTGCCCTTTTAGATCCTTCCACTCTCATTCCTCCTCAATCAATAAATTTACTTTATAGAAACAAGCTTCCAAAAAACCAAATGACACATGATATTTGTCCAAGCTTGACAATTACCTACTTGAAATTCAATGATTCCATTCCACAATCCATGTGATGTTTTTATGTACAAATCCCATCAATCTGGATGAGCTCTCTCTATTATATTTTTTTGAAGTGGAAAATAGCACAATGGAAAAGAAAATTTTAGAAAGGAAAGGGAAAAGAAAAAAAATATAAAACTTTTAACAGGGAAACATGCACCAGCACTTTGTTAGAACAAGTTATGCATTCTATGTAGGTGACTTGTGCGCATCCCATATTAGAAATTTCAAAAGCTAATTCCCATCTTCCTAAGCAAAGATATGGTTTCCCAGACAGTATTACCATAATTTGAAAAACATCCATGAGTTATATCTTATACTAAATAATACATGAATTTGTTCGACATTTCGTACTCAGCTTTAATTGTTAAAAATAAGGATCTTGCAAAGTTTTAGAAAGACACAAAAGTAATTGCACAACATAAATATAAAAGCATATGAATATAAGGTACAATAAAATAGATATATCTAATCTTAAGCAGATGACACTACGTAAGAGTACCTTGAAGGTAGACATGAGATTCACCAAACAAGTGTTTTGGTACATCTAGTTGCTCATAGGTCTCAGGCCTGCATAGGATTGAAAAAGATGAAGAATGGACTGGGATACAGTTTTACTGATAGACATGTAACTGATCAGGTCTATGTATAAAAATCACTCAAAATCAGGAAGTGCAGACTTAAACTCACTCCATTAGCACAATGTTTCCGGTTTCATCATCTGTATAAAGGTACGTGAAACTCTTTTCTGCAACAAATACTCCTGCACATGCAAGACCAATAACGTCAAAATGCATTTGAAATTCGCATAGTATAGATAATGGAGTCAAGCGAAACAGGCTGCTCATCTACAGCAAAGACTTGGATGTAGTTAATATAACTAATCAACGAATTAGAAAAGTTGCCTCATGCAATTCAAGATATCGTCCTACATGAATGAGGTAATTTACAAGATTGGTCCCAGTCTTTAAGTGAGTTAACTTCTTGGTAAGCAAGGATAAAATACGTTAGTATGTACCACATGGATCCTATTATCCATACATTCCGAATCAATATGTATGTGCTATTACAATGTACCATATTGAATCATTTGATAAAATGATTTTACCTCAAAAGGAATCAAAGGTATGAAATGATGTAATCGTGTTAACATCATTTATAATCCGCTAAATACAACTTGTCAAACATTATTGTCAAATCAATTTACGGCAAAAGCACTAAACTTCTAGGTGCCTAACTCTCGGGGAAGGTAAGTGTGTAACCCTCTAATTATATAGCCAAAAAAACATTGCAAGCTTAGGATTCAACCTTAAAAGATCAAATTGTTTCCTTCATTAAGCCTAAGCTCACACAACAAAATGCAAAAGCCTTAAATTAAATGGCACGAACCCCTTATTAAGAAAGATACATAATATATCACGAGACAAGTTACACAACAAATATGATGAATGAGTTTTTGCAACTAGAGATGTGAAAATTCATACTTTCAACAGGTTCATCTGTACGAAATCTTTCATTCGACTTGCTTCCACTATCAACATCACGGAGCTCCACCTAAAATGTTTTCGCAAAGAACAAAAGTAAGTAAATAATAAGATGTTGATTACTGATTAATTGATTTTGTTGAAAGAAACGAGACATAAAAGATAAAACATTATAACAACAGCTAATCTCATCAATGATTAGCAAATGTTAGGAAGTTGAGAAAAATAGGTAAGCAACTTAGATGAAGTTTCAGACTGACAAAGAACAAGGAATAAAATCCCAACTGAATCGTAATTCTATCAATCCAAAGTTGTATCAAGATTTTGATGACTTCAACAATCAGAACTAATATATCCTTATCAAACAAGAGCATTAATATCTCACATTCGTGATTGTCTATAAAATAGAGGAACAAAGCCACTAAGCTTCTAGCTATTGACAACCAATACTAAAATTAATGCCTATGCTTATTCTATGGGTTCTTTTTTTCATCGAATAAGAGATAACACTAAAACTTCTGTCATTATTCTCAAGCAAGATAGGCAAATTTACTCCTGAAGACCATTAATGCTGAACAGTGGAAGCTTATCGCTGAAAAGAAGTCAATAAGCTTTCACATCAAATAGAGCTGGATTAGATGACTCATTCTCCAAAAAAATAAAAGGAGTTGGATTAGATGATTAGCTACTTTGGATTTGCAGATAGTATGCTGCTGAATGCTGACTAGGGTTTTTACAACATTAAGTACATAAAGATTCGACATGCTATTGGTCCACAATCTTTAGTTTACATTTTCTGGACTAGTGGTGTTTTGTCTAAAACGATACATAAATATATATGAGAAACCAGAATCATAAGTTTCTGCCACGATGAAACTGCAAAAAATTAGAGAAAGCACCACAGAGTCAACATTAATCCAACACGTTTTATGACCAGAAGTAGGGCAAAATCATGAGAATCACAATAGGCATCACTTTAGCAAAAAAAAGATTGGAAACTCCGGATACAAGGAAGAGTATACTAGTTCTGTATTCAAAGTCGGAAATCAACAAAATGGACGTAATTCCTGCATCATTGCCTTCTACTCCAAATATATATTTTTGTTTTCTCCTAGACTTACAATCCATAATTTATCTGACATAAGTCTTACATAATAATTTCTTTTCTACGGTACAAGCGAAGCAACTATTGGCTTGAGATAAGAACTCAAAAGTGCATGTGACATGAACCTATAAATATCAGAGAAAGTAGGCACAAGCCTTCAAACAGCATAACCAATAGAACATGGTTAAAACTGAGTTGCCATCGGACAGCACAAAATTGGACGACTCTGGGAATAAAAAATGACCGACAAGAAAATCTTCCATATAAACTGGCTTAAAGCCACCTTCAAATGCTAGGTGCTTAGCAGGAAAACTAGAAACAACAAATGAACCTAGGCGCTAACCTAGATTCATCAGCTGTAGAGTTTGGTTCTAGCCTGGACAAAAATTGCCTAATATCCATGTTAAATTTGGTTAGAGCTTTATCATCAGCTTTAGATTGATTACTGCAATTAATGTTATCCAAATGGATGGATCAAATGGAAGCGAAAGCAACCAAGTTTCATTCATGAAAGATAAATATGATGGAAGGTATTCACAGTGGGAAGAAGCTAAAACAATAAAGAGTGTCAAATGCTCATTGATGCTATTTGCTTAACATTCTTTACTTATCAAGTATGTGATTATATAGAGCACATAATCACATAAGATCAATGATCTGAAGGTGTAATTTCAAGTTCTTGCATTTCACAAAATGGAAGAAGAAATCAAACTGTGAAATTAGAGAAAGAATCTCAAAAATAAGAAGAGCAAATTGCATGCATGAGACTCAATATCAAACCTGTATAATAGCTCCTCCTCTTCCTTGGGTTGTATGTTGTGCCTTTACCACCTAAACAATGTTCAATTTCATGAAGATAATTCGCCTTCACAAGAAAGCAAAAATTGCATAAAACTAAGGAGAGAGATAAGACAGCTATTAGCATAAACTAACCTCATAAATCCTTCCTGAGGAAATCGATAGCCAAAAGAACACCACATCATTATTAGTCTATGTGTATATAGACATATACAGAACCATAGTACAGAAATGTTGGCAAGCTAACCTTTTTTCTCAATCACATTTCCTGGCTTCAACTACACCAAAATAAAATGAAGGTGAGCACTTGAAAAATAAGAAACAGCAACAACAACAACAACAACCCAGTAAAATCCCACTAATGGGGTCTGGGGAGGGTAGTGTGTACGCAGACCTTACCCCTACCCCGAAGGAATAGAGAGGTTGTTTCCGAAAGACCCTCGGCTTAAGAAAACAAAAAGACAAAAGGACAAAAGGAGACAATATTAGTATCACCACAGCAATCATAGGAGAAATAGAAACACCATGAAATCCAGAAGAAAGATGCAAAGCAAAGGGAGACAATATTAGTATAACCACAGCAATCATAAGAAAAATAGGAACACCATGAAATCCATAAGAAAAATGCAAAGCAAAAGTGATAGCTAGTAAATAGGACTTGCACTGAAAAGCGAAATAGTAAGACACAACATTGCCACTAGC